TATATATATATATAGACAGTATAACACGGATGTCTCGAATTCGTCGGGATCGGCCTCGGTAGTTCGAGGTATCCGTAGCTCAAAGAATATCTTACAAAGATAAAGAAGATATGCCTGATTTCGAGTCTACTGCGCTCGACCCTTCCGTCATATAGTGTAGTCTGCTTAAACTGAACGTGGTCGAGAGGTTACAGTGTTCGCCTCTCATTCAATAGGTCCCGAGTTCTAATCCGGAAAGCGACGGAAAATTTTCTTCTCTAAAATGTTCTCCTTTCACATCCTTTCCTGCTCTCTAACAATGTTCTGTCGTCTGTTTTCGTCTCCACTTTCTGCCGCCACCTCCTCAGCTCCTTTGCCCCTCCCCTGGGCTCCGGACTCTTTCTGTCGCTTTTCTACAGCCACTCCTTGACTCCTTCTCACTGCTGTCTTTCAGTCCTACCCCTTGTCTTATGGAAAGTGAGATCTAACACCTAGCCTTCTCGGATAAGGGCTAAAAAATCTAGGAGGTCCTGTGTGCAGGTTGCGCACGTTAAAGATCCCTAGGTGGTCCAAAATCGCTAAAAGTAGGTTTCAAAATTTCCGAAAAAAACGAAAATGTTTAATGTGTCCTGCGCGCTCATATTATGACCTTATGCAGTTGTGAGTGCTGGAAAACACTTACAAAACATAACAAAAAACTAAGGTGGAACTGAAAACCCGGTTTTAACCAGAGAAATTCCGGCAGTCCCGCAGATTTTGATTGAAGCAGACTCCACGATACATAAAACATTTATGTTGTATTTCTAATAAATATGCAAGGTGGGAAGTAAGAAGTGGTCATTCATTCAGGTAATAGCCTTGGACAACTGGCTGTTAGAGCAGGGATCTTAGCTGAATGTAAACTTTCAGAGTGAACCAGAGCGGGATCTTACGGGGTGACTTTTGGGTAGTAAAAAATCTGTTTCCTTAAAACAGCGCCGAGATCCTAAGCGAACCAGGATCGTAAGCGGTGGAATCTTAGGCGGAGACAATTGTATATATTCATAGAATATCAAACACACATTCATACATATAACATATTGGAGCACACACACACAAACATACACACAAACACTCACATACACACACACACACACACACACACACACACACACACACACACACAAACACACACACACACTCAGAGTCAAACCTGTTCAAAAGGCCGCCTGTTCAAGACTATTACCTAAATGAATGACCACTTCTCACTTCCCACCTTGCGTCTTCATTACATGTACTTTAATGGCTCTATTCTATCCACCTGTTCAAGATAACCAATTTCTTCTCAACTGTTGACGGTTGTCTTATACAGTTTCGATTTTATGGTTATTATACATCCAAGGGAAATGTTGCGTCCACAGAAAGGGGCATTTCATTATTGGCTCACTTAACAAATTAAAACACTTACCAGTAGTTTCCGGTAAAACTACACAAGTGTTTGTACACACTTGAGTAACCCTAATTGGACCATTGCTTCAGACACAACAGGAGAAAACAATTATCAAACTCATACCCCTCTATACCACCACCACCTACTAAAGTACCTTTTCAAAGGAGGGAAAGGTAGCCATTTTACACAGATATACTATCATATACCGTGTTTGCTAAAATGACATGAAATCATTGGAAATTGATGTTCAAGTTTTGTTTCTCTATGTGCATGAATTGTTTTTAAGTTTCTATTCCCAACAGAAACCATCCCACCCCCACCCCTCTTCAACCTCCAACCCCCACCTCCACACACACACTCAACCCAGGACCTTGCTTAAAACAACTTCGTGGTTGAAAGAAATGTAAAAAAAAGTAATGCGATTTATCGTCCTAGTCCCCTGCCCCCCCCCCCCCCCCCACCCCTTTCCATCCCAACACCCCAAGATCCCAAGACCATTATCGTGTCAACATGAGTCTAATAGCAACAAACAAAGCTTCACAATTACACTAGTTTGTGTTTTCACAAACTGCCTGGGTTTTTGATTCAGAGAAGTTGCTCAGATAGGAGTAAAAATATTGGAGTAAAAATATATCTTATTTCCGCTTACGGCTGTTTTCAGATTAACTGAGTTCGGTAAATAAGACAAAGAAAATAGTGAACATACGAATGCATTTTGGTTCTATAGGAAAGTTCTATTCCTTTCTGGGTTTTTTTATCTCTATTCTTTTGAACACACAAACTATCATTTTAAAAGTGACTAAATTTAATCAGTGGTCTTACTTTGGTTTTGCAGGAAAGACCTGTTGAGCTGCCCGCCGTGGCGTCTCTCTATCGCTGAATGGTAGCCACCTGCTTCATGCCGTGAATGGAAGAAGAACTCAGAGGTGCTAGAGCACTCTGTCATGGTGTCGCTGTCGATGCTGTCATGGCGGCTGTAGTGCCAGCGGTCGTAGATCTCGTGCAGCAGACCATCCACAATGGAGCCTTGGCGTGCCCGCGACAGCTGCTCACCCACACTCGGCTGCGGGCTCCCGTGACTGCCAAGGTCATCCTCGAAAGGGCATTGTGGTTGCTCTAGGGCGTCGATGAAACAAGCATCGTCATTGTCGGACGACACACTTCCGTAGCTAAACTGGCGGAAGCAAGACGGGTGCTGAAGGTGGACAAGTTCCGGGCGCCCCTCTGGTCTTTTGCTTGTGAAGCAAAATTCTTCATCATCAGACGTTGGAGGCTGCGTGTTGTATGCCCCTGGAGACTGCATGCTGGTCATGGTCAGAGATTCTGCCAGCCAACCACAAGATCTGCAACCAACGCACAGACACAGAGTCTCAGTCGGAACTCATACTATTGACCAAAAAGTCTTGACCGTCTGAAATAAAGAGATAATACAGCAAATGTCACATTATATTTTAAAAAGCAAGTACTTTAGCTTAAAATGAATAGACAGTGATAGAATTAAATTAAATATATAAAATTGCGCATATTACCCAAAGAAAATGATGAAATTTGTACAGAAAGGAGCACTTTATTTTGCTGACTTCACAAGACATTGGTTGCAAATCAACTGTCTTACACAAATAGTAGCCACTTAAGACAGGATAGAACACTCACTGGAGGAAAGTGGGGAAATGATATAAAAGCCTGAGCGACATGTTATACCGTCAAAAAAAGGTCTGGTGAGCTTCGATATGGCAGAACATCTCATAAAGCACACTTTCTAGTTCCAAGTTACATGATACATGAAGAGTAGATGCGGCATGCAACAATTCAGCATTTCACAATGATATTTCAAACAGGGAAACATTTAGTGCCAAAAAAACATTTGAAAAATCACCAAGCAGCTTTTTTCACTGCTGAATAGAAAATACTAAGAAGTTCTGAAGCAAACTTCAGAATTATAAGATTTTCATTAGTGAGCCTGCGTTTGTGTGTGTGTGTGTGTGTGTGTGAGTATGTGTGTGTGCGTGTATATGTGTGTGTGTGTGTGTGCGTGTGTGTGTGCATCAGGGATGAAAGTTGGGATGAAGGTTGGAGTGATGGTGAGAAAAAATGTTTCAGTACGAAAAATAAACAATTTTTGTGGACAAATAAAAAGAACACTGCTGGGTCCTCCCATAGAAAAGTAGTAAGTCATGGAGGGTGCCTTGAGTTCATAACACTTTGTTGACTGAGAATAATAAAAAAAGGGACACTTGCCTTTCAAAATACTGATATATTTCTTTTTTGTATTATAATAACATACAGAAACTTGTATTTCAACACTGCTCAACAGGATCTTCACAAAAAATGTGTTGACTTATCTTTTTGTTTTATTCATGTTCTTTGTAGTACACATTCTTATATGTTATTCAAGAGTTCCCATTGTATCCACACTGGTTGGTGTGTAGGCTAGAGATTTGAAAAAGACATTACAATTAAATATGACACTGATCGAAATATTTTAAGCACAGCAAAAACTGCCAATCTAGGAATTAGATTACAATTCAAGTTGAGAGAAAAGTCAGTAAAGCATCCCTTCATCAAACCTTTTAACTGTCGGCTATGCATTTTGCCTCTCTGTGTAGGTCGGTGCCCTTAGACAAGATCAGATCGATTCAATTCGGTTTGGTTTGGTCGTCGAGGCTAGTCAGATTTTCCTCTACAGAGACCGATGATGACTTTAAAAACAAAACGCATTTGTTTTTCAAGGCTTCAAGTTGGACGATCAGTTTGAGGCAGGGGTCTAGTTATGGTGTGCACTGAAGCCGTCAGAAACTGAACTGAACTGAACCAAACAAAACCTCCAATGGGCACCGTGTATGAGAGGCACGGAAAATACTTTTTTTGAGTTAAACACTTGTCACAAAGGTTTGACTAGTCAAATTTGTGGGTTTTCAAGCCAGTGAATAGCATATATAAAGTATAGATCTCAATCTATAGAGGCCTACTCTCGATCCTTGTTAAGGGAGGACTTCCGTAACGAGCGACCACTATGAGACAGAGCAGAATTGAGGGCTTGGGGTAGGGGTAGGGGTAGGGGTAAGGGTAGGGTTAGGGTTAGGGTCAGGGTTAGGGGTAGGGTTAGGGGTAGGGGTAGGGGTAGGGTTAGGGGTAGGGGTAGGGTTAGGGTTAGGTCTAGGCCTCTTCTTTATTGTGTTTGATGGGGTGGTCGCTCATTACGGAAGTCCTTCCGTTAATGTAGCCACTGTCAATACCTCAGAGTTAGCACTTTCAAAAATAGGGTTCCACAGGTCAATGTTACTTTTATTTCAGGCTACATGACACATCCACATGATCAACTGTGCTTAGTGTAAGATTCCACCAAGCTACACTATTGAGAAAAATGTCGTATGAAGGAGTTTTAGACTGAGCAGTCGATACAATACGCCAGGTAAACCTTCACCTTCATTCTCGCTCTCTCTTTCTCATCATACACACACGCAAAATATCATATGATTTTATAGCATACACACATACACACACACACACAGAAACACACAATTTTATGTTTTCACCTTTTACTTTTTTAAGAATTGTTTTTTTTCAGTCAAGACTCATATCTAGATCTAGATCTAGATCTAGATCTAGATCTAGATCTAGATTCTAGATCTAGATATCTATGTTCATGATTTCCTTTACCAGACTTTCACTTCTCTTTCTTATTTCATATCTGGTGAGGTCACTAAACTTCTTACTTGTAGGCCTACTCTTTATCCAATAACATTGTATAACATTAAAAAACAAAAAATAAAAGAATAGGCTAATGTTGGTTTTATTTCTTATTATTAGTAATATAGATCTAGAATCTAGATCTAGATCTAGATTTAGATCTAGATCTATATATCTAGATCTAATCTTTAGTCTATTTGGTTACATGTATGATGAGGGTAACAGGTAAGCCATGGGTATGTGCATACAGGCGAAATTATGATTAATTAACTTAATAATGCAGCGCGTACCACAATACACTGATGAATCCCAGAACTTCATCATCCGACGCTGACACAACCAACCATTGTAAAAATGACAGTTGTGGAGAACAGCTGTATTGTAGCCTACTGTGTCGTGCCTCTTTCTTCCAACCAATTAAATAACTTGCAAACAACTGTTGCAGTGTTGACGTTGCCAACAAAATATTGGGAGTGGTCTCCCTTGGATTCTTATTTGGCGCAAGTGATAAAATGGAGCGTTTGTGTGTTATTGTAGCCAAGGATGTCTTTGCTTCCATCTTCGGGATCGTATGTTTGATTCTATTTTCCTCACCACATCACGAAACAAAGAAAAGAACAGAAAAGAAGAAGCGAGGAAACAAGAAGAAAACTAGCCTAGCATGACATTATATTTATTTTTACAACTTCAAGCCAAATTCAAGTCTCTTTGCTTTAAGTTTAAGTGTGTACCGTTTAAAATAAAGAAAAAGATAGGTCCAAAGAATGGCTTTTACGGACTATTGGAACGATTTTCTTGAAAAATCGTTGTTGTGGTCTGTCTTGCTGAGCTACCCGTAATAAAATTATTACTATTATAGTCAATAATTATGTTAATGTTCTTCTGTCTTCCTGTTTTCTTCCTAAGATTTAATGTCTCCACTGCCTGTCCACCACTACCCCTCCCCACCCACCCCTCCCCCCCCCCCCCTCTCTCTCTCTCTCTCTCTCTCTCTCTCTCTCTCTCTCTCTCTCTCTCTCTCTCTATCTCTTTCTCTCTCTCTCTCTCTCTCTCTCTCTCTCTCTTCTAGGTAATAGGCCTACATGGCTTTCTCCTTGACTGTTACCATGGTCTGCCGGGGTATAGTGGAAAGAGCAGAGCTTGCAGTTGGGCTGGGGTAGGCCTTTGCGATATACAATAAATGCTATATATTATTATTATTATTATTATTATTATTATTATTATTATTATTATTATTATTATTATTGTCTTTATTATTATTATTATTATTATTATTATTATTATTATTATTATTATTATTATTATTATTATTATTATTAGAATCTATTTACGACTTCCTTAATAATTGACCGCTGTGCCTGTTTCATTGCCACCGTACGTGTCTTTTTAAGTATCATAACTTCCTCACGGACTGGACAATTCTGATTTGAATAAGGCCTGGTGTGTTTATGTAGCCTATAATTTTTAATAGGTTATATTATTGAAATGCAGTCGAAACTTTCTGAGACGGCCATCTGAGACACACTTTCGTACAAGGCCTGCACATACACACACACACACACACACACACACACACACACACACACACACACACATTTATGTTTTCATCATTTGAAGCCTTTTGAGAATTTTCTTATTTTTTAAAATCAAGACTCTTACATTCATGATTTCTTGACCAGGCTTCCGTGGATCATGGACTCCCACTTCACTCTGTTTTGCGTTGCAGCAATGGTGTCTGTTGTTCTTGCAGCTCCTAGCCATGTTGTTATCTTGTCCAGCATATTTTCCCTCTGTCAGCCCCTGCCTCTCTTTCCATCAAACTTGCCTCCCTTACCAGCAGCTGAAAATTAATATATATATATTGCTACCAACTGGTCAACTTTGGTACCGTAAATAACACAATGTAGTGGGGTGGACGACTCAACAACACGATCGGTTAATTCATTAGAGGGACTAATGATAGAACAACAAGTGAATGGATATGACAGCTGGTCCACAATGCCAGGGGCTGAACATAGATATATCTATTTTAGTCCTATGCGCTAGGGGCGATTGGAGATTATGTATTATCATTGCCATCTTAGAAAGATGGGTTGGGGTTGTTTTGTTGTTTTGTTTTGTTTTGTTTTGTTTTGTGGGGGGGGGGGGGGTTTGGGGGTGGCTTTTATATACATGTATATATCTATGGAAAAATTGCAGGAGGGGGGGGGGTAATAAGTGCCAGTTTGTAAAGGTGACTGTCTTATACAAGTGGTCGTCATAGCAGTAAGACTACTGTATATTTTATAAATTAATATATGATTACACTTCAGATCATTTTTGTATCGTTCTGTTACTAAGGAACCTTACCGATGAACAGACTTATTTGAAAGCACTCTAGTCAGGATAAAAGCATAGATCTAGTACTTCGAAATCGGAAAAACGAAACATGCAAACGAACTGGGCATGATACACAGTGCATTCGAAATAGGTCCCTGAAAACACTTTGGTTTTTGTGCCCATGGACCTGCGAATGATTGTGTTGGGTTGGGTTTTTTTTCAAGAAATCCAGACGAAATCCATCCCCTCCGGTGTTTGACTCCTGCACCATTTATTTATTTATATCTATTTATCTATTTATTTATGTTTATTTTTTAAAAAGCAGAGCTATAGATTTACCTACATAATAAATTCAAATATCAGACCTGTCCATCATGTAAAGGGGATCCCGTTGTCACATACTTTCTTTGCCTTCGATACACATTGGACGGAGAATGAAAGGCATTTTTTACCGACTCCACGGGGACAAACCATTTCTACTCCAGGGGACCCTCTTGTATTCGGATGGCCTGAAAATTTACTTGAGCGAATTATAAACGCCTACAGGTACTCAAAAGTGTGATTTTCAGACCATCATCCCCTCCATGATTATCTCAGTCACTACAAGTCAATGAACCAAGCTAATGTGTTATGTTGATCAGAAACATTTTCATTTCGTTTGCTAAGACTGAACTTTGAGTGTGCTGTATGAAGATGTGCCATATTATGTGATAGGCCTAATTCTGAAATATGTTTAAGGTCAACATATTTACCTTTATATACGAAAAGAAGATGCAGAAGATTCTTAGAGAAATCTTAACCTTAAGATAGACTTGCTTTTTTATACCTTAAGATAGACTTGCTTTTTAATACCTTAAGATAGACTTGCTTTTTTATACCTTAAGATAGACTTGCTTTTTTATACCTAAAATAGGCCTTATGCCGATTTCGTGGGACATTTTCTGCCTTGACCAGGTTCGAGCAGCACCCTTTTTCACAACCAGCTCCTAGAACAATATAGGCCTTATATATTGTGACTTTTCTGTTGAAGTGTATGTGCAAGTTCCAGTTTTTGGGAGATTGCCCCCCCCCCCCCCCCCCACCTCTCCCCCAATGTAAACCAGCAAACGAAAATCCTCGATTTTTTTATCTTGAGCAAACTCTCTAACCGGAAAAAAACGACTAAACCGAAGAAAATCTGGTGACCCTGCAGATTCCTTTTACTTTTAAAGCGGACTCCACTATAATGAAGGCCTGTACAACACATATTTTTCTTTTAAAGAAGATAGATCTGTAGGTTGACCTAGAAGCCTTCTTTTATTACATTTGCTGACCTTGTACCCAGAAACGGAATTCTGTGCATCGAGATCAAAGAGAAAACAACTCAGAGTTAACTATATATTACA